GGAGGCCTCAGGAGATGTCCTACTGACAGTCTGGCCTCCCTCTGCAGGAGGCGACTGGCTGATCAGGGGAAGGCACCCCCCCCACCCCCCATCACCCCCTGGCTCCTGCTGCCTCGGGTCTCCCTCTGCGGGAGGTGACCTGGCCGATCATGGGAAGGCAATGCCCTCATCACGCCTCTGCTGCTGCCACTGCCGGCCGCTGTGGCTTCCTGAGCCTTGGCCCTCGCAGCCACCGCGGTTTGCCTGAGCCTCGGGCTGGCCCTGGCAGCAGCAGCCACTGCCATCCGCAGCTTGTCTGAGCCTCAGGCAGCTGCTGCGGCTTTATCTGAAAGGACGTCCGGAAGACGTGCTCTCTAATTAGCATATTAACCTTTTATTAGTATAGAATAGATCACTATAACTTTTGGTTGTGATCTGGTTAAAAAATGTAAAGAGCATATTTTTTAGGTTTTGAATGCCAGCTTGATTGAGAATTAAATAACTTACCTTATTTGGTTCATAATTGTGGACATCTGAAGCATTTCCTTATTTTTTTCCTAATATACTTGTTCAGATGTGTGGCCTGAAAGTAGTTTCTATGGGTAGATGCTATTAAAAAGGCACAAACCTTTATTTATCAACCAGCTGTTGTGGTATAGTTAGAGCAAGCTTAATAAAGAAAAGCTTATGGCTAGAATATCTTAAGGCTTTGCCTTTCACACACGAGAGGAAATTGGGTGGTAACAGGATGAAGCTAATTTTGGCCCTTTGCACACCCTGAGGAGAATTTTTGCCTTTATTAGTCAAGAAGTAAAGCAGTACTTTTTTCCCAATAATTACTTTACATATTTATACAAAGTAATATTTTAACTGGTTATTGATAAAGAACTGAAAAGTCTCATTATTAAGATTTTATTTAAAATGCTGTTAACTTTTTAAAACATGTGCTTTTCCCGGCACCATCTATGGAAGCATGAATGCATATTGTGTATAGAATATGCTTGTCTCCAGACACAGATATGTTCTAATTTTTAAGACTTGTGGTTGACCTACTCCGTTCTTTTCATAGATAAATATGGATCCTCTTTTCTCTTTTTGATGTTTCTTGTAAAGCTTATCTCTCTCTTCTTTAAACTAGATTTCATTTATAAGGAAAATGTTAGGGATTTCTGGTTTTTGATAAATTGTTTCCATTGTTAATTTTTATGTTGCCTGTACCCTTCTGGGCAGGATCTCTTAAGGTGTTTTTCTATCGAATAACTTTGGAACCATGGTTAATCATTAGGTTTTGCAAGGAAAGTAGAAATGTTTTAAAAATCTGTGTTTAAGTGTCTGTTACATGTCCAACATATGCTTGTGCTTTGGAGATTGCAAAGTGTGTGGGTTTATGAAAATGTTTATTTTTAACAGAGCTAAATACTGCCTACTTTACACTACATTCCTTAATATTTTAAAAAGTCAGTGTGGCCTTCCAATTATGTCTTTAAAGAGAGAGGGATTTTGATAGTTTGGACATGAGGAAAATTGTCTGCATTTTAAAGTAAAGATAAAATCAGGGGTTTTACTTAAGAATACCTTTTAGAATGATGCAATATACAGGTTAGCATTCTGTAAGCTTTTAGACTAGAACACGTTCCATAATTTTAGAGAGTTTAAAACCAAAAAGATTTTTTAACCAGAAAATTCAGTTGATTTAAATTTTTATTATAATATAAACTATGTATGCTATGTTAGTTACAGTCTTCAGAGACTTCTGATGCTGCCATTTGGGTTGATTTATATTTATATATTTTAAACTTATTTCTGTGTTGCTGTGAGAAAAGGCTGTTTTCTGTTACAAGTTAACATTCACTTGGAGAGCTACCTTAATTTTAATTGCATGAGAGAAGAGTATGGCTATCCCTGATAAATTGGAGAAAGTTGAGGATTATTCTTCTCTAAGTATATAAATGAGGTGGAAAACTCGTGAAAACAGTGTATTAAAGTTCCTTGAGGATTAGAAAGAATTATAATATTAATATTTAAGGTAATCAGGTAATGATATTTTCAGGGAACCTGGTTAGAACTTATTAAAATGAATCTTAATGTCAAAAACTATATTTATCCAGAGCATTTAAGGTTACACAGCCCAAAAAACTGAATTTTCCCCATTTTTCTGAGGCATTTTCTATGATTCTTGCAAAGTAAAATAATAGTGTGCTCTTTGTTTTTAAATTTACTGGGCATAGTGGGCATTTTTGGTTTATATTTTGTCACCCTAGACAACTTGTAGTCATCTACTTAGCATTGTGCCTAGAATTTAGTAGTTGCTCAATAAGCTGCTTTATTTTTTTTTAAATGAATGTTCAGGTGATTTGTAACTAGTAAATGAAGTACTCAGTTTTGAAGGTCTCTTCTGGTTAATTGATATGAATTCTGCCTTGTCTTGATGGATATATGTGAGGGGAAGACGAAGTCATTCATATATATATATATATATACACACACACACATATACATACACACACACACACACATAGAGTCTGTTTTATCCAAGACAGCATGTCTTCTGTGTTGAGTTGTTTTGTTTTTAATAGATCAGTATAGGAAATGCAAAAGTATCGCTAGTGTAACCCCAAGACAAATGCTAATAGTTGAGTTGTTTCTTAATGACCACATAGACAGCTGAACCCTCAAGGGATTTCAGGACGCTAAAAAAGGAGTTAAATGTCTCCTACAGCTTCTTGAACTGGCCAAGGATGAGCTTTACCACTGAGTGTGTAAAGTAAAAGTCTGCTCAATCAATTTCTTAACTAAGAACTTGGTTTTGCTTCTCTCTAAACTGTAGCATATTCTGAAACTTGAGAAAAACCATTTGCCTAGCACAGCTGTTGACTTCCTACAACTGAAATGCTTTCCATTCCCTTTAAAATAAGCCCTTCTGATGCAGAATGTAGATCACATGTATCACTCAGACCAAAAAAGTTTGCTGAGACTACTCTGGTCATTTGCCCTGGGTCCGGAATCTTCACATTCCAGGCAGAGCTCCAGCTGTTCGATTTAGTTACCCAGTTGGGATTGGCTCTGCTGCCTACTCTTTTCTCCACCCCTTCACTTTCACTGGGAGAAAGTTCTTGAGCCAGATAATAAATGGAAGTGCTGTCACCAGGCTTCCTGAGTGCAGCTGGCACCATGGGTGTGCTCTAGAGCAACTTCTGTTTGCTCTGAGCCCCCTACCCTGCCTCCCCTTTCACCATGTTTCCTCTGGCAAGATTTTAAGTACAGCAATTCAAGAAGATTTCTCCTCCTAAACGACATTATTCTGAAGTGTACTGCCTCTTGATTGCTGGAAAAGAATCTTAAATTCATTAAAAAAAGTAAACTATGAACAAACTCATTAAAAGGGATGAAAGGACTATTGAAATTGATTAGCACTAATTTTCCACTGTGCCAAAGTGTGCGGTGTCTTTCAGAGGAAACGATAGCAGATCTGGTGAGTGTGCCATGCCAGTGGGGAGAATTGAATGCCCCTCATCTCCCTCTTTCACTAGGGACAGCAGTCATGAGTGCCGGGTGTGCGGGGTCACAGAAGTGGGTCTTTCCGCATATGCAAAGCATATTTCTGGCCAGTTGCACAAAGATAACATTGATGCCCAGGAAAGAGAAGATGATGGAAAGGGAGAAGAAGAAGAAGATTATTTTGACAAGGAACTCGTCCAGTTAATAAAGCAAAGAAAAGAACAAAGTCGGTGAGTAATGATTTTGATTTTTTAAAAAAGCTTATCTGAAACAGGATAGTAGAGAGTACCTTTTCCATTTCCATACTTATCAGCCTGTAGCATTCAGTCTTATCTTAGTTGTAAAGTTTAGCTCGAAGTTGTTGACATACATAAAAGGGCAGTGGAATCCTTTCTTGAACTACTGTACTGTCTGCTAAAAAACTCAGTGTTGTTCCTAATAAAGCTAGCTATTGCTGCTACATATCTGAAATTTTTACCATGTTGATAACTCTGTGTAGGACTATTTTTATTAGTTCCAAAGTTTTTGGTTATTAAAAAATTATTTTTATTTGATACCCAAATTTTCTTGTAGAAAAAGTATTAGTATATAAGCTTCATATGACTATTTTATATAATGTTCTTATTGCATCCCTTAGGAAAAACTGTTTTGCCTAATTGAATTAACATGGTGCTTCTACCATATTTGATTTCTGTCTTCATGTTTAAGTGCTTTAGTAAATATTTATTGAATAAATTTATCTTTTAAATTTGACAAGATCATTTCAGCAGTATAAGTTTTCCTGCTTGTACTACATAATTTCATACCTACATCTATATTAATGTATTAGGCTGTTTGTTGTATTTTAAAATTGCTGACTTGTGGTCTAAATACTTTAATTATTGAAGCAGAAATTTTCAGATATGAGTAAAAGAGAGAACCAGTTATGAGATGGGGTAATTTTGCAAGTCCTAGGGCATGATGAGAAACATTTCAAATTCTAAAATAAGATTTTAGAGATCCTTCTTGAGTACTAGTTATATCTGGTCTACCTTTCATTTTTAGTTAGAGGTTTGAATATAAAAAGAAAGTAATTTTTACTCTACATGCTAAATGCTTTTTGAACAAGTCCTTGAAGGAGACTTTCTTAGTTTTAAAATGTCAGTGGCAACTTGGTTCTTTAATTATTCAGTCCTTCAAATGACATTCTCACTACTTTCAGTGTAGTGAAGTAGCTGTCCTTTACTCTTGTTTTAAGGTGTTCGTAGAGTCTCTAGGAGACTAACTTCTATTTTGGTTATTACACTCTTGTGCCATTGTTAGCTTATCTGTGTAAATGATTAAACATTAAGTCAGAGGGTAAAAGAGCTTCTCAGTAAATTCATGTTAGAGGTAACTTCTAATTATTATAGTTAACTTCTAATCTCGAAGACATTAGGAGCTTTTAGAGCCAATTAGAGTCTGTGCTGAGCCTGGCCTACATGGCTCACCAGTTGTGTGTTGACCTATGAACCAGGAGGTCACAGTTGGATTCCCGGCACATGCCCAGGTTGCGGGCTCGATCCCCACTTGGGTATGTGCAGGAGGCATCTGATCAATGATTCTCTCTCACCATTGATGTTACTGCCTCTCCATCTCTCTTCCTTTCTGAAATCAATAAAAATATATTTTTAAAAAATAAAGTCAGTACTGAGTTTAAGATTCATGTTAAGTTCAGAACAGGTGACCCAACTACAGAAACTTTGTTTTGGGATATTCATTCTACCAAGGCCTAGTGGCTGAGAGTGGAGACTCTAGAGTCAGACTGCCAAGGTCCAAATCTCTGTCATACCACTTACTCCCTGTGCTATTCTGGACAAGTCACTTCTCTAATCCTCAGTTTCCTCAGCTAAAAAGTAGGAATAATAAGAATGTTTGTTTCAGAGTTGTGAAAATTAAATGCCTGACAATTAGTAGGTACTCAATAAATTTTATCTAGTATTACTCAATTTTTTTAGCACCTTCCATATGCTAAGCACTATGCTAGGCATACCATAGGAAGTTTGTAGAGGATATAATTTTATACATATTCCTGTGATCTTTTCTTAAATTTAATTCCATTTCTGTGGGCTCCTTGTCTAACATGAATAGTTCATACAGCTGTAGCTTCTTTGTAAAAACCTCTAGGACATGGAATGCCTTATAGGACTTACTGTGGGTGCTGCGTATTTGTTTTGTGCTGTTTTACTCTGTGACCTTATTTTGTCAACTAGGTTGTAAGCCCTTCAGGCATAGGAACAGTGCATAAAAGTTTTCATTCTCCACTAACAGTCATTGAATGTGTGCTTGGTAAAGTGTTTATTTTTTTAAATATATTTTATTGATTTCTTACAGAGAGGAAGGGAGAAGGATAGAGAGTTAGAAACATCGATGAGAGAGAAACATCGATCAGCTGCCCCCTGCACACTCCCCACCGGGGTTGTGTCTGCAACCAAGGTATATGCCCTTGACCGGAACCGAACCTGGGACCCTTGAGTCCTCAGGCTGACGCTCTATCCATTGATCCAAACCGGTTAGGGCATACAGTGTTTATTAACGAACATGGTTATGCATAGTAAAATCTTGCCATTTAAAATAGGTTAAGAAACTGGGTTTTTTCCAGAAAGAACCAACAACTGGAGAAATCATAATATTAAGACCAGCTGAGCTTAAATTGTATTAATTATGATAACTAACCATAGCTGCAAAATATAATTGTTTTTATTTTCAAAATGCTGGCCCTGGCCAGCGACTACTATTAAAAATAAAAATGGACTCTATATTATAAAATAGTCTAAGTAACAGGGGAGGGAGGTTGAGGGGAAGTTTGGTGGGTTATGCCTTTAAAGGAAGTAAAAATAATTCCTTTAAATCAGTAATAAAAACTTTTTCTTTCAGACAAGATGAACCTTCCAGTGGCAGCCAAGAAATAAAATCTGATGACAGGCAGCTCCAGCGGAGACGAGAAGACAGAATTCCTTACCAAGACAGAGAAAGCTACAGCCAGCCAGCATGGCACCATCGGGGACCTCCTCCGCGGGATTGGAAGTGGGAGAAAGATGGCTTTGGTAATACGAGGAAAAACAACTTTGCACATTCTTTGAGGAATGGTGCTGGACCAAGAGGGTGGCATAAGGGTGTTGCAGGAGGCTCCTCAACTTGGTTTCATAACCATAGTAATTCCGGAGGTGGTTGGCATTCAAATAATGGAACAGTAGATTGGAATCACAATGGTACAGGAAGGAATTCCAGCTGGCATTCTGAAGGAACAGGTGGCTTTTCCAGTTGGCATGTGAACAGCAGTAACGGAAACTGGAAATCCAATGTACGCAACACAAATAGTTGGAATTACAGTAGTCCTGGAGACAAATTTCAACCAGGCAGAAACAGAAATTCTAACTCTCAAATGGAAGACATGGCTAAGCCATGGAACAAGAAATCCAAGTCAAACAAATACAATCAAGAGAGATATAAATGGCAGCGGCAAGAAAATGACAAAGTTAGTACAGTTGCCACATACAGAGGTCCTTCTAAAGGATATACAAGTGATAAATTTTCTTCACAAATCTTATTTGACTTCAATTTTGAGCAGCCAGAAAGCCAAACCGCTAAGCAGACAGAGACCATAGCTTCCAAAATTGGTGGGAAGAACGGCGGTGTCGCAAGGGAAAAGCACCATCGCTGGACTCCTTACCCGTCCCAGAAGGCTCTGGATTTACCATCAGGAATGAAAGACGTTACTGGGAACAAGTCAGAAATGATAGATAAGCCTTTGTTTGATTTTACTTTAATCCAAGGAACACAAGCATCCCAAATTGATGAAACAAATAATTCCCCAACATTGAAAACACAAAAAGAAACACATACTGGATCTCTTAATCACAAAGCCACTTCTGAGCAAGCATATAACTTAAATAAGATGCCATCATTAAAATCCCCACTTCTTCCAATTCCAGTCACTAAATCAGTCCCTCAAAAGCAAGATTCAAAGAATCCCTCAAAAAACACCAAAGCGAGTTCTTTTTTTCCTGGAAAACATTCAAATTCCTTAAACAAACACAAGGGGGAAGACAATCATGGCTCTTCTTACAGGTCCAAATTGCAAAGTTCATGTCCTCGTGTTTTAAAAGGGAATAAAAGTAGATTTGGCACTCAGAGGGAATCTGATGAAAATTTAAGTGATACGCTACAAAAAGCCAAAGAGGTGCTACAGTTTCATGAGTCATTGCAAGCTCCACTTCTTAGCACTTCGAAAAGGACCAGGAACTGTGACAAAGCAAGTAGGAACGTAGAAGAGTCTGAAAAAGGATCTTTGAAGATTGAGTTTCAAGTACACTCATTAGAAGATGAGAGTGATGGAGAAATACCTGACGTGGAAAAGCATGGAACAAAAATTGGAACCCTGGATTCTGCAACTACTGAAGTCTTATCCTGCAGCACCCAAAATGCTGACGAGAAAGAGGGAGAGCACCAAAACCTGAAAACACCTAGAAAACTATCCACTTCCCCATGTGAGTCAGTAGTTCACCAGAAAGAATCTGAGTTACAAATGACATCTGTAGCCAGTCCACACTCTGGCTTACTACTGGACTTAAAAGCCTCTCTGGAAGATAGACAGGTTGATGAGTCTGTTAAGTCTCATGTATCTTATGAAACAGAGGGCTTTGAGAGCACTAGCTTGGACGCAGAGCTTCAAAAGAGTGATATAACTCAGCCCTCAGGCCTTCTCCTGCCTGAACTAAGTAAGCTTGGCTTTCCTGCGTCGCTCCAAAGAGATCTCACCCGGCACATTAGTTTGAAGAGCAAAACTGGAGCACACCTTCCTGAGCCAAACCTCAATAGTGCTCGCCGCATTCGCAACATTAGTGGCCATCGAAAGAGCGACACAGAGAAGGAATCTGGGCTCAAGCCAACTCTTCGGCAGATTCTAAATGCATCTCGGAGAAATGTCAACTGGGAGCAGGTCATTCAGCAAGTAACCAAGAAAAAGCAAGAGCTGGGCAAAGGCTTACCCAGGTATGTGCTGCTTTTCAGTGTCCGTTTCTCTTCAAGTTTACCCTTTGACCCAGGTCAGGAGAAGAATTGTTGTTACCTTTAATTAAATGTTTGCCAAAAATATGTGTGCCCTGGCCTGGTAGCTCAGTTGGTTAGAGCGTGGTTCTGATACACCAAAGTTGTGGGTTCAATCTCTGGTCAGGGCACATATAAGAATCAACCAGTGAAGGCATAAATAAGTGGAACAACAAATCAATGTCTCTCTCTCTCTCTCCCCCTCCCTCTTTTTTTCTCCCTCCCTCCCTTCCTCTAATAATCAATTTTTAAAAATGTGTTGTGAATGTTGGGTTTAATTATCAGAGAGTGACTGCTACTCTATAACAAATGGAATAAAGTGTTTCCCAGCAGGAAATTCAGGTTAAAAAGAAGAACACTACTTCTGAGAAATGATTTCGGGACATAGTAAAAAAAATAAATAAATAAAATAAAGCAGAAATCCCGCACTTTGGTTTTAGGGGCCAGAAAGTAACAGCATTAAAAAGTATATAAATCTGATTCTTATCTATAGATTTTCATTGAGTGATGCAACTTTACATATTACGGTTCTCATTCTCTTTTACTTAGAATCTTTGCCCTCTTGTATTTACTCTGGGCATTATAAGTATGATCACAAAGTATTCTCTCTTAAGTACTTGCGTAATAATTTGGCTAGTCATCTGGTGTTGAGGCACGAAACTTTCTGAATGGTAAAGCAGCATTCAACACAGATTTGCTACGCGAACATCACCCTGCTGATTACAGTTATATAGCTCTCCCGGTTTAAATTCCTATCCTTATTGAAGTAATGTATTTATTGTACCCCCTTTTCCTTTCCCATAACTTGAGATTACAAATATAAAGCTCTGCCCTGGCTGGTGTGGCTCAGTTGGTTGCGCATCATCCTGTGCACAGTTCAATTTCCTGTCAGGGCACATACCCAGTCGGGGTGTATACAGGAGGCAACTGGTTGATATTTCTCACATTGATGTCTCTCTCCTTCCTCCTCCTCCTCTCTCTAAAAATTCAGTAAGACATTCAACAACAAAAAACAAATATAAAGTTCTTAGTATAATGTCTGACATTTGTGAATGCTTAATAGACATTTCTGTTTGTTTTGGTTTGTTATTAAAATTATGTACTTGTTGGTTTCAAGCTCCATATGAAATAAAAACCTCAATTTTTACTTTCTCATATTCTCATCACTGTATGCTAATCTCTAATTTAGTAACAATTGCTAATTTAGACATACTTCTCTCTGTGTCTTGCTTTACAATACTTATAATACAAAACTCATACTGTGGTTATTTATGTAAAGCTCTCAGACTGAGCTCCTCGTGGGCCGAACCATCTTATTTATGTTTGTCATTTCAGTGCATAGCAGAGGCTGGAACGTGAAGTGGTGCTCCCTTCTCTCAACCACGTTGGATTTATGATCTTTTTCTTTCTTTCTTAAGGTTTGGCATAGAAATGGTGCCTCTAGTTCAAAATGAACAAGAGGTCTTGGGTTTGGATGAGGAGCCTGATCTGTCCAATCTAGAAGGATTCCAGTGGGAAGATGTGTCCATTTCTTCATCTCCTGGATTGGCAAGGAAACGAAGCCTTTCTGAGAGCAGTGTGATCATGGACAGGGCTCCTGCGTATAGCTTCTTCAGTGAGGAAAGTGCAGGCAAAGAAAATGAGCCCCAGCAGATTTTTTCACCTAGTAACTCATCGAGGGCTGCGCAGAGTCCAAAAACAAAAAAAAATGTTGCTCCTGAAGGCGGCACAGTGCACAGTTACTTTCTGACTGTGCAAAATCTTTGATGCATTTGACAAAAGACCTGAACAGCCAGGAGAGTTCTGGACCACCTTCAGAGAATCCGAATGCCAAGGAGAGTAACGGAGAAGGGAACTCTTTATCATCATGTGCATCCTCAGCTCTTGCAGGCTCTAATTTGGCAGATGCAGGCACAGATAGTAGCTGTACCTCTGGTGCTGAACAAAATGACGGTCAGAACATTAGAAAGAAACGAAGAGCCACTGGAGTGAGTATGATTCTCTGTGCCTTTTGTAGAACATTTTATGTGGTGACTTAGATGTTGTAAGAAAGATTTAACGGTTTAATTTTTCTTGCGTGTCCAGGGTTGTGGTTCTGCCTACTCTGGCCTAGAAGACTTGTGAGGTTCTTACTCTTACTTTCAGATTATTCTACTGGTTTCTTTGACTGAGTAATTCTACTAACTTTGATGTAATTGAATATGATTGTACAGTACTAGGAAAATATGAAGTCATCACTAAAATTAGTCATCAAGCCAATCATTTCTTTATCACCTGACAAGGAGTAAGCCACATCTTCAGCTGTAACTTTATCTGTTTCCATGATGCATTCTGTACAGCTGCTGAAGAAAGGCACTCTAGTGTTGCCTTTGGAGGGCCTTGCAGGCTTGTTGGATCTAGGAGTTTTAGGCTTAACACCAAGTTTTAATGCTAATAGAGTGCATCTATATGAGCATAGTCTTAGAAATATTTGTAGTCTCCGTTACTCTATCTTTCGTACTTCATTCATCCAGCATGGCCTTTCAGAATCCGTTCCTTCACTGACACCACTTCTGTTCTGGCATCTCTGTTGCTAATACTGCTTAACCCTTTCAGAAACCCTTTCTGAAAAGAAAGAATTGTGACGGTAATACAGTCTGGAATCTAGCACTGTGAGAAAATGGGCTATTTCCTTTAATACTGAGGCAATATAATATCACAGAGCGAATAAGGGCTTGGGCTGTAGGCCTGGATTCAAATTCCAGCTCTGCCCCCCTTTGAGCTAGATACTGTAGTTGCGTGAGAGATTGTTCTATGACAAAGCCAATATCTTAGGGCTTGTCTCAATAAACTGTTTAGCTTTTCATTGTGAATATTTTATTGCTGAAATTTAAAGTAGAAACTGCCACAATGAAATCAGATAGATGTATCTCTGGTTTTGTCCATGCTTCTAGGTCTTGCTTTACCAGGGTATGAAATGCTTTGCCTCTGCCCTGTGGGCTTCACTACCTCTAAAATGCTAAAAAGGTACTTGACCTTAGATTTTAAAAAAAGATCATATGTATATGTTTATTCAGGTAATATTGTAGTTCATATCATGTACAGGATACTTCTATTACTATCCTGTCAGTGATGGTAAAAATAATAAAGAATATTGTATAACTATCTCAGAACTAATTCTTTTTTTCCCCTTCTGGATAATGGCCATTATATATTTAATATTATTCAATTTTCTCTATTTCCTCAGGATGGATCTTCTCCTGAACTCCCAAGTCTTGAGAGAAAAAATAAAAGAAGAAAAATTAAAGGAAAGAAAGGTATAGTGCAGAATATTCTGGCAGAAGGAAATTGTTCTTTTAGCAATTCAACCTTTTTACAACCTCACATAGTATAGTTTGTGGTTTTCAAACACTGATCGCCCATTTATTATTTTTTTTTACATTTTTGTTGTCTTAGTGCATGGAAAAATTTGATTTTCTACTATATACATAACATACAGTTGCATTTGTAGGAGAAATACATGATGCCACATATACCTGTAAGCTAAAGTTAATATATATCTTGGACAAATTGAGTCCAGTATAAAAACAGAAAGTCTCATTGGGCCTTTTCAATGGGATGAAGAGGAACAGGCCTTCAGTAAATTTTTGTCCATTTTGGTCATTTATCCATTTCTTTCAGTCTCCATTTTTTTTGAATCTTGGTTGCTTTTCTCGTGTGAATTAAGGAGAGAAGTTTTTAAGGAGGCTCACTGACTGATATGCTTCTTCAACACTTGCTTTACACTGACTCTAACCCTGATCCAGGTTGAGAGCTAGTGTGGGAAGTGATTGAAAGAGCCTTGGGTGATTGGAAGGGAGGTGTAAGGTAGGAGTCAAGGATGACCCCAGTTTCTAGTTGGGGCAACTGTGTGGATGGTGACATCATTTGTAGAGCTAGGAAACTCCATGAGGAGCAGGTTAAGAATAGAGGAAGATGATGAGTTCCCTTTTGGATCCCTTAAGTTAAAGGACCTCAGAGCCCGGCTGGTGTTGCTCAGTGGTTGAGCGTCAACTCATGACCCAGGAGATCACAGTTCGATTCTCGGTCAGGACACTTGCCCAGGTTGCCGGCTCGATCCCAGTAGGGGGCGTGCAGGAGACAGCCCATGAATGATTCTCTCATCATTGATGTTTCCATCTCTCCTCCCTTCCTCTCTCTGAAATCAATAAAAACATATTTTATTTATTTATTTTTAAAGAGGACCTTATAGACACCTAGGTAGAGATACCAAGTTGGTAGTTAGGTATGTGGGTCTGGTTTAGGAAAGAGGTCCTGGCATATTGAATGGGGAAGAGACAAACAAAGATGACAAATATATACAATGGGGCCTTGACTTAACGAGTTTAATTCGTTCCGAGACTGAGCTCGTTAAGGAGCTCATTAACTCAAATTACTCTATCAACTCAATGCAAAAAATCGCCGAGACAGCTGGTATCTCAAAAAACTCGTTAGTCGGGACACTCGTAAGTCAAGGCCCCACTGTACATATAGTAGAACATTTTTTTAAAGTAACTAAAAAGTTCGATTTTCTGCTGTAGTAATGGAAAAGTTTGCTACAGCTCCTTCAGGCAGATTTCTCTAATAAACATAGCTATGTTAACTAACACACTAGAAAAATGTGGATTGGGAGGAGAGTGCAAGCAGAATGATCTGGGGTCCAGTCTAAGCAAAGCCTGGGGTGAAGAGGGTGGTAGATGAAGGAGGAAAGGGAAGTGGAAACTGCAATAGTGGATTTGCTTCGGACAGAGATTTCACCGAAGGGTAGTGGTGGAAAATGGTTATTAGGTAAGATGGTACCACGCGGTGGTACTCCTGAACCTTTGAGGCACCTTCATCTTACCAATTCTCACTTTTGGTTTCCAGCTCTGACAGCAACTGACTTGATTATATGATTTGTGAGATTCACTGAGTCTGTGGTACCTATTGGGAGAAATAAAGGCTTATCCTAGATACTGATGTAGTTCCATGTTCTGAGGAGCTGTATTATTAAATAAATATTGAAAAGGAGTCTCCAGTATTAAGCCTATGGTTTCTTCTGGCAGAACGTTCGCAGGTCGACCAGCTGCTGAGTATTTCTTTAAGGGAGGAAGAACTAAGCAAGTCGTTGCAGTGCATGGATAACAACCTTCTGCAGGCGCGGGCAGCACTTCAGACAGCGTATGTGGAAGTTCAGAGGCTGCTTATGCTCAAGCAGCAGGTAACAGCAGGTGGAACATTTAATGAAAATGGATAACCTCTGAAATTGGATTTGAAAATTCATGACAAAATACTTTATTTTTAGATAACTATGGAGATGAGTGCACTGAGGACCCATAGAATACAAATTCTACAGGGATTGCAAGGTATTCGGATTGGGCCCTCTGTAACTTGTTTTTTTCTCTATAGAGGGGAATTGAAATAGTCATTAAAAAATCATACGATTTCTCTCATGTCTGTTTGGTTTCATTCTCCTATGGAAAGGCCTGTAAGACTGTATATCCATCCTCAAAATGCTTAGCAGTCGAGACAGTATATTACAGAAGGAGCCTTGGGTTAGGAATCAAAACACCTGTGTTCAAATCTTGGCTCTTCTATTAGTATCTATATGACCTTGGATAAGTCACTTAAAATCTGAAAAATTAGATTATTAATGCCTATTCTGTCTATATCCTTGATGGTTTTATAGATATATGACAGTCTATTTGGAAGAATTAGGAGAGTCTTTAAATTCTTGTAGAATCTTTAAAAATACATATTGGCTAAGAAACAAGTGACTTTTCAGATAACATTTTTGCTTTTGTATGTATGTATTCCATTTCAGAAACATATGAACCTTCTGAACGCCCATACCAGGTTCCCTGTAGCCTTACACGAGAACAGAGGAGCAGCAGATCTCAAACATCTGCTGATGCCACGCTGCTGCCTACTCCCTTCTTCCCAGTTTTTCTGGAGCCTCCATCATCCACAGGAGTCCCTGGCCAAGTACCCACATCTCCTGCTTTCCAAGCCCATGGCAGTGTTCCTGCTCCGGACTCATCGATTCAGATTAAACAGGAACCTATGTCTTCTGAACAAGAAGGTAATGTGAATGCTGTGTCACAAGGCTCTCCTTGCAGTGTGTCCAAGGAATCACTGCAAGGTAATAGTATGTAAATTTTTCTCTGATTTAAGGGCAACCCTGTAATGGGCAATTTTATATCAGTGATGTAAAGTTATACTTGTTCATTAAACTGAAGTTAATACAATTAATTTTTCTTAAGGTTTTCTTTATTCAAGAGAATTATTTAAATATCAATAACTTTTCCTTAATTTTCTCTAATATAGAATTACTTATTTGATTTTGTATTAGCACCTAAAAGGTTCCATTTATTAGGATGGGTGCAGAATTATTTAGTTCTGGGGTGATAAATAGGATGTTGTTCAGTCAGATATTTTCTCTGAATTTCTTAGCACTTGATTGTCTTTATCACCTAAAGTACAAGCCAGGGTTAATATAAACCTGGGAAACCTGGTAGCCATGATGAAAGGTAGAGGGGGCTCCGGGGTTTAGAATCATCTAATAGGAACTTGAATGGTTTTGAGAAATAGCCAAGGTTTTTAGTTTTAGTATTTACGTAAAATAACACTCACTTGGTTACCATTTGAAAATAACTTCTGAGCAACTTAAAATATCACTTGAAGTTTGTGTAACCACAATGGTGCTGTATTAATAGTTAAGTAAAAAGTAAACAAACTGGCATTGTGTGATTTCTTAAGCCAAAATAAAAATTCTGAAGAATTATTCTATTTCTCTATCTGTTACAACACTAATTTAGATACTTGTATCAAATGTATATTGTCTTTCATATTGAATTTTGTTACTTTTATATGGATGATATTTAGTGTTTTCTTTAAAAGACTAGTAATAAGAAATATAGTGATCTTTTAAACTAATTTTTAAAAAGCAACTTTAAGTAGATTTTTCTTTCTGATTATAAAACTTGTTTATGTGGTCCTGGCTGGTTTGCTTGGTTGAACATCATCCCATGCACCAAGAGGTTGCTGATTTGATTCCCGCTCAGGGCACATGTCCAGGTTGCGAGCTTGATCCCCAGTGGAGGTGGCAATTGATGCTTCTCTCTCTTATTGATGTTTTCTCTCTCTTCATCTCCTTTCCTCTCTCTCTCTCAAATCAATTTAAAAATTTAAGAATAAGAAACCCTCTAATTTATGGACATTGTAAATAATTGGGAAACTAGAAATCGAAATATGTTATACATATAGGGTATCCCCCAAAAATGTATACACTCACCTAATTTTCACTCCTTTTCAGGCTTTACTGATTTGAAGCCAGATTAAGCTTTGAACAAAGAAAATTTATCCTAAAGTGCCACTAGACTTTTTTTTTTAATGGAGATACATAAAAGATAAAACCAGCAACAGTCAATGGATTGAGGACGCACAAATACTGAATGAAATGATTCTTGATGTTTGCGATTCCATTGCTTTGCGTTATCAGCAATGCCTGGACCAGAACTGTCACCAGTTTGAAAACAGGCATTAACAAAAAAATTATTCATTTCTGTAGATTCTTTTAAATTTTGAAAATGAACAGTATATTAATAAACACGGACTTTATAGTCATTCAAAGTGTGTATACATTTTTTTGGGACAACCTGTATTATTTCAGTCTTTTTTATGATAGAGTAAGGAAGAGTTTTTTAAAAATATGTTTTTTATTGATTTTAGAGAGAGAGGAAGGGAGAGGGAGAGAGGACAGAAACATCAGTGTGAGAGAGAAACATGGATCGGTTTCCTCCCATACACACCCCCCAACCAGGGACCAAACCTGCAGTGCGGGTATGTGCCCTGACCAGGAATTGAACCGGCTACCTTTTGGTGCATGGGTAATGCTCGACCAACTGAGCCACACTGGCTGGGCTTTCAGTCTTTTTTTAAATCTTACATGTTTGTGTTTACATGTAGACTTATACAAAGGACAAATTGTAGTCCGTTATAACTTGGCTTTTTTCCATTTAGTATGTCATGATCATTTCCCTGTGTCATAAAAATAATTCATCTAAAATATTTTATTTTACTAGTTGTATAATATTTGAGAAATTGCATAATATTCTGGATGTGCAATTTATATAATCTCCTTTGAATGTTTAGTTTTTTCCCCCTTGTTTTTAGGATTCTGTGTAACATTATGTTATATATGTCTTTGAGTATGTGATTATTTTATCAGTTTAAATTTATAGACATGAAATAACTAAGTCAAAGAAAATAGACATTTTTAAGTCAACTGACTTTTTAACTACCAGTATGTAGCTAAACTGGATGATGTACAGGTAACATGCATAGTGAAAATTAAGAAATGCACTTCAGTTAAATAGATACGTTAGTGTCTACTAAGAATAGAACATGATGTTCAGTATGTGGATATTTCAAATAAGAAACAAGGAAAAAAGATGGATAGAAACAATTCCTGCCCATAAGGAGCTTTTGCAGGGTATAAAACATGCGTGTTATTTGTGAGATTGAGCAAGGCCAAGCGTACTAAGTTCTGAAATAGACATTCATGTCGGTTATGGAAATTGAGGGGTGAGAGAACAGCTTTAAAAGCCATGGTTTAATGTCATTGAAATGTCATTAATTGTTAGAGATTCAACCAGTAACAAATAATTGCAGTTTATGACTGTAAATAGCAGACACAGAAAGGTGCCATCATTTTTTTCTTCTCTCCTCAGGAGAGGGCAGTGACCGCCGTTCAGTCGATGCATCCCTCACTGCACCGTTGTCCTTGTCAGAGCCAACAGAAAATTTCCATGAGCCCAGCCGAGAGCTGAGGCTTTCTGTGGAGCAGGGAAGTACCAGAAATGGGGAAAATGTCCTCTCGTCCCAATCAGCTGGTCTTCCTCGCATAAATAAAGAAGGTGAAGAGCCAATCAAAGGCAACAGCGGGTCTGAAGCCTGTACCAGTTCTTTTCCAAGATTGTTCTTTGCTTCAGAAACCTCTTTAGAGAAGGAGTCCCTCTCTCTCGCTGACCAGCCTGAACAAGCAGAGTCTACTCTGACGTCAGCTGAAACTCGGGGGAACAAGAAAAAGAAGAAACTTAGGAAGAAGAAGACCCTGCGAGCCGCCCATGTTCCTGAGAACAGTGACACCGAGCAGGATGTATTTACTGCTAAACCTGTGAGGAAAGTGAAAACTGGAAAGTCAGCTAAAGGAGGGAAAGTAACAACCTCCACCTGGGAAGATAGCAGAACTGGACTTGAACAAGAGAGTGTCAGGGATGAGCCAGACAGTGACTCCTCTCTGGAAGTCCTGGAACTTCCTAACCCTCAGTTAGAAGTAGTGGCCATTGATTCCTCGGAATCTGGAGAGGAGAAGCCAGACAGCCCATCGAAGAAGGATATTTGGAACTGCACAGAGCAACACTCATTAGAAACTTCTCGTTCTGGTTGTGATGAAGTTAGCTCTACCAGTGAGATTGGCACTCGCTATAAAGATGGTATCCCTGTAAGGTAGGGATGTTGAATTGGTCCAATCAGAACAGTTTCACCATTCTTTTATTTTTCTAATTCTCACTCGAGGACATTTTTCCATTGATTTTTAGAGAGAGAGGAAGAGAGAGGGAAAGACAAAGAAATATCGATGTGAGAGAAACACACCGATTGGTTGCCTCCTGCGCGCACCCCGACCAGGGCCCGGGCCGGGGAGGAGGCTGCAACTGAGGTACGTGCCTTTGCCCGGAATCAATCCCGGGACCCTTTGGTCTGCTGGCCTACACTCTATCCACGGAGCCAAACCGGCTAGGGCCATTCTTCTTCTCTTTAAAAAAAAAAAATAGAACTTTTTGTTATGACTCAGAATTTTTAAAAGAATCAAATTTATAGAGAATCTGTAGGCATTGCAGATGTGGAAGACTCAAAAACTTGGCAATGGAGATTTGCTGCTTTCTCATTTGTGTTACAAATATTTACTGTACTTTTATTTCCTTCCATATAGAAATTTCAGATGGAAAATGATCTCATCATTGCTACTTTGCCCATTGATTAGAACAATACTTTGAGTCAGGAAAATTTAGGTTTTACTACCTGTCCTATTCACACAGATGCTAAGAAGACTTTTGCTATTGTTTTGTAGTGTGGCAGAAACTCAGACCGTGATCTCCTCCATAAAAGGATCGAAGAATTCTTCAGGTATTTGGTTGTTCTGTTTTATTTAAATTACCACAGAGAAAAACCTTGTAAATGTTAGAGCCAGGGTTTAAATCTACTTAAATATACTTATAGAATAGGGGGCAGGAGTTAGCACCAAGAGGATTGCTTTGACCAGCAGTTACGGTATTCCTAAATCCTCAAATCCTTCTTTTCAGTTTCTTACGCCCGTCTCTCTTACTTGGCTCTCTTATCTATTCAGTTATTTAGTATTAAGGTTTCATTGGCTCCAGGGGACTTTGCTTTGAGACAGAACTGCTTAAAGAATAATGCCTTGCTCAGTGAAACAACTGTACGTGAAGATATTTGGCGCCTTCCCGTTATCACTCAAAAACTCATACAAGTATCATTTTCTTAAGTGAAAGGCCTTCCCTGCTTTCTCCTACTATGAAATATTCATAATGAAGATCTTAATGAAACTGTGGTATTTTTAATGGGTACTAGACTCTAAGGAGAACTCAGGGGCCACCATGTTATGTAATGGTTTTAATGTTTGAGTATCTTTTCAGACACAGTGGACATGTTTCTGAAACAAATTCTTGTTTTCTAGAAATATCTTCAGAGCCAGGAGATGATGATGAGCCCACAGAAGGGAGTTTTGAGGGGCACCAAGCTGCAGTGAATGCAATTCAGATATTTGGGAATTTGCTCTATACCTGTTCAGCAGATAAAACTGTGCGAGCTTACAATCTGGTGGTAAGTTGATACAGCAATTTGAATACTTTTGGTAGTTGCAGATTTTAGAAACTCCAACTCAGCAATAGGGGAATTTATTTGCTGTCTAGATAGGGGTGGTATTTAGACTAACTTTAGATAAAGTTGGTCCTGCTGCTCCACAGGGTCCCTGGGAACTTGATTTTATTCTGTCTCTCCACTCTAGCTTCTTCCTATCACCTCTTCCTAAGGTGTTCTCCTCCTGCTCACAAGTAGATCCAGGAGCTGCTGGGGTTTCTTTTTCCTCCCACCACCAAACAAGGGTCTCGTGCATTATTCCCTAAATAAGCGCTTGGCACTTGGCAAAGGAAGGTGGGATTACAACAGTGGACGTGGGCTAGTCAGATCCCTGGAGTTTGTGGTGAGGTCAGTTGCATGACTGCTATATAATAGGGGAGTAAAAAGAATGCTGGGGAAGTATTAGAGGAGGCATTTTCCCTGATAGTTGATTAGTTGTGCAAGTTATTAAAGAGAGCAAGTCTTCCACAATACGCACTTAGTACAATCTCATGCCCATTTCTCTGAATTTTCATAGAATGAATTTTTGAGTGTTGAATTTGGTATATGTTAAACTAAATCTGTTTATCAATAATGATAGCCAAGAAACGTTAGGAACACTGTGTTGTCTGAACAAACTGTGAAAGTGTTTAAAATTGTTGAAGTCCTGAAAAATCAAAAGGTTAGATGATAGAACAAGAAAATGTGTTTGCTGTAGGCAAGAAGTATATAGGTTTCTTTAACCTAATAACCTGAGGGGCTAAAGGAATGACTGAAGGAAAGAAGCAATGGTACCAGGAAGTATGAGTGTAAGGTTTGGGGGATTGGCTCTAACTCTGAATTGCAAAATAAGTATATGTAAAGGGTGTCCCAAAATTCACGCAAGAAGTAATTTTGATAGAAAACACAGGTTTATAATTAAAAATTGTAAATTTTTTATTGATTCATAAAGTATACTGTACAGGGTTATGTATGGAATAGCACATCGGGTAAATGGCCTCCACGGCTTTGCTGGCACATATGCACTCTTTTGTTATTGCCTGAGCAGCCGCATTTTCGAAGAAGAATGGTCCGATGATGCCTCCAACCCCAAATCCGCACCAAACAGTGACATGTTGTGGATGCAGTTGTTTCTCAACAATCACTCGTGGATTTTCTGAACCCCAAATATGACAATTTTGACGATTAACTAAGTCATCAAATGAGCAAATGAGCCTCATTGAAATTCAGCCACATTTATGCAAAACGGTCATGGAAAATTTCAACAAAAGATTGCGTATGTGCCAGCAAAGCCGTGGAGGCCATTTACCCGATATGCTATTCCATACATAACCCTGTACAGTATACTTTATGAATCAATAAAAAATTTATAATTTTTAATTATAAACCTGTGTTTTCTATCAAAATTACTTCTTGCATGAATTTTGGGACACCCTTTATATGTGTACATTCTAAATAGATCTCAGAGATAGCACAGATAACTATTAGGCTGTCCCCTTATGAAACCATACCTGGACCACTGGGACCTCTGATGACACCTGACATGTCTTAGACGATTATGGAGCATTTTCATAAACTACTGAATCAAATGCAGGGATTTGCCTGGGTAATTAGCCTCAGTTTGGATTTGGTAGATCTTTGGTCTGTGTGTCGGACAGCCTAGCCCTAGGCATTAATTAAAATTCTTACCAACCTTATAGTGAATTGCCCTAATTATTTTTTGGTAAAACTCAGCTAACATAGTTGGAAGTACCTTACTGCATGTGGCCATTTGCTGGGCATTATTGATCCCATGTTTACTGACCACTGTTTGTGTACCAGGCACTTTCCTAGGCACTGAGGATGCAGCAGCGAACTATTATGTTCTAGCATTTTTGTTGTTGAGGAAAGGCAGTATCTGATCCTTCTACACCCATAAGTAATAATCTGATCTGTGCTTGACTTTAGAGTCGGAAGTGCATTGGTGTCTTTGAGGGCCATACTTCGAAAGTGAACTGCCTCCTGGTTACTCAGACCTCTGGGAAGAACGCTGCCCTTTACACTGGTTCCAGTGATCACACCGTTCGCTGCTATAATGTTAAGGCAAGTGGGTTCAGAGAAATCAAAAGTGATAATATTGACCGGCTTTGACTGTATTTATACTGTGTAGAGTGGAGACATTGAGACAGATGCTTCTTTCTTCCCACTTTCTCTCTGCATCTGTCATTAAAGAGTTTGTGCTTGAACTTCATCAAAATAAACAACACTGCCTGTATTAGCTTTAGCTCACCATACTATCTGAAGTTCATATTGCATGTGCCAGTAGTTCTTTTTTTAAAAATCATTATATAGAATTCAATTTCCTCTATAAAATTACAAAGAGATTGCACTAATCAGAGGCGACAGTTACTGTCTTTTTTTTTTTACAACTTCATGTGTGGCATTTTTTTTTTTAAATATTATTTATTGATTTTTTACAGAGAGGAAGGGAGTGAGAGATAGAGAGTTAGAAACATCGATCAGCCGCCTCCTGCACATCTCCTACTGGGGATGTGCCCGCAACCGAGGCACATGCCCTTGACCGGAATCGAACCTGGGATCTTTCAGTCCGCAGGCCGACGCTCTGTCCACTGAGCCAAACCGGTTTCGGCATGTGTGGCATTTATATTTGTAATTTTCTGGGAGAAATTTAAAAGACTGACTTTCAGGTATGAGAGAAGAATGGGAGAAGAAAACGGGCTTTTACAGCCTACAGCTTTTCGTTCTACCCACAGCTTGTCACATCCTGCCCACTTAAAACCATCTTAATTTTAACATCTCTGTCCAAACCTGTTTTAAAAGATACACTTGGGCATTTAGTTGCTTGGTATCATTAACAACAAATCTTGAACACTTAGTGTGTTATTGGGCCTATTCTAGGTTCTAGGTAATTAAAGTTGCTAATATAACCCAGTTCTGGAAATTTATCAAAATTGTTTCTTGAAGGTCAGATTAAACAGTGTTTGTTTAATCTGGATATGCATCAAAATTGCTAAGGACATTTTAAAAAATACTTAATCTAGGGCCTACTGAATTAGAATCTAGGGATTGGATGTGAAGCTTGGGGTTCTATATATTTTAAAGGCATGGGTAATTATGGATCGGCTAACCTGACACTGGTTTGAACAAGATACTTGGGAGCTATTAAAATAGAGAATCAATTGCAGGAAAGCACATATTTCATTAATGCTATTACATATACAACTATAATTTTCCTTTTAGATGTCAAATACAGCTTTAAGTTTATCTTTGGTTACTTAATTTAAGAGGTTAATACTCCATTCCTAGTGCCCGTTGAAGAATTTCTACATTCCGTATTAGGAATATGGGTAACATTATAGAATTTACATTTGTTTTTGTTACTACCTACAGCTTGAGAGTCTTTGGCCACATATTTCAAAGGAGAAAAAATATCTAAGATGGCCTTCTATAAAATAGATGATACCTCTTCCTCATAAAGTCATTTCATACTCTGCTTTCAGAAGGGGGTTTCACATTTTGCTTGCTTAACCTCTGCTGATTAGGTGTTGTGTACTTTTATCAGACGCGAGAGTGTTTGGAGCAGTTACAGCTGGACGACCGAGTCCTCTGCCTTCACAGTAGATGGCGAATCCTCTATGCGGGACTAGCAAATGGCACTGTGGTCACCTTCAACATAGAGGTTAGTGGTTGGGAGAGAAGGCTGAGTTCCCATGCCACTTGAAAATAGTGTGAGATGTGTGTGGAAAGAAATAGAAACTTGTTGGGGAAGAAGTGGAAGGCAGACATTTTCTTGTTTTCTTATGTGAGAAAGCAATGGATTAACCACTACTCAAAAACTGTTATCATTGGGTGTAGGTGATACAAGATTCTGCATTCTGTCTGTTCAGACCCAAGTGTGCCAGGACCAAAATGTAACTCTGCTAAATTAAACCAAGCCTCACAATTTGGAGCCAAATAATGAGTCACAAGTTAAACTAGTCTATCTCATTTTTAGGAATGACACCCTGAAAAATGAGCTTAAATTCCTTTGAGTATGACACTGATGTGGTTTGGAACTGATTTGGGTTTCATGAGGGTAGCCTGTTCTGTAAAGTGAACTAAGTCAGAGGTTTGTCTTCATGACCACGTGACCTCATCCTTTCCTAACTCAAAGATAGAGTCATTTGTTGAGCAAACCTTTATTGAGCATCTGTTATGTGCTAGGCCCCAGGATGAGGCTTAGGAAATGAGTAGGGACCAATTCTTGATGACCCTGTGTGCTTTGCTAATGAAGTTGGACTTCATTTTATAGGGTTTCTAAAAATATATATTTTATTGATTTTTACAGAGAGGAAGAGAGAGGGATAGAGAGTTAGAAACATCGATGAGAGGGAAACATCGATCAGCTGCCTCCTGCACACTCCCCACAGGGGATGTGCCCGCAACCAAGGTACATGCCCTTGACCGGAATCGAACCTGGGACCCTTGAGTCTGCAGGCCGATGCTCTATCTGCTGAGCCAAACTGGTTAGGGCCATTTTGTAGGTTTTAACATATGAGATACATGATCCAATTTGTATTTTAGAACAAGTCACTCTGGAGTTGATAAGATTGGAAAATATTGGTAATAGTAGAGGCAGGGAGACCATTTGGGAGGCTTTCTAACGGAAGCTGACATGAAAAGTTATGGTGGTCTGCAAACTGCGGCTCGCGAGCCACATGCAATTCTTTGGCCCCTTGAGTGTGGCTCTTCCTCAAAATACCACATGCGGGCGCACACGTGCAGTGTGATTGAAACGTTGTGGCCCATGCGCAGAAGTCAATATTTTGTGGAAGAGCCGCACTCAAGGGGCCAAAGAGCCGCAGTTTGCCGGCCATTGGGTTAGACCAAGGATAAGAGATGTAATCTAAGAGATT